TGTTGGTCTACGGGAATTGACACTAATTAGTATTGATTAAAACATGTTCTTTGCCTTTTTTTGGCCAGTACAACTTTAACTGATCATAAAAGTGGCTTCTGAACAGATGGGAAGAATGTTGATATCAGTGCCATTTTGAAATGTTTTAAACAATATAATACATAAGTTACCACTCTCAACTCCATTACATAATACCCCACAAATTATTGGAACAGGCTTGGCATAATTCCCCAGTTTGTTATCATGCTGTTGTTATTCTGTTAAATGTTTGTATTATAGTTGCTGCTCTATAAAGTGAGATATAATTGCAGAACGAATTACCTTGGATTTGTGATCTTTTATATATTTATGTTACATTAGATAGTCCAAAATCTATTGTTGTATGATTTGATTTTTTTATTGGTCTTTCTGAGCTTGATTAAGTCTGACATTTGTCCCTTTGTTGTCTGAAAACACAGTAGCATTAGTAAACAAGATTTGTGAAAGTAGGATTATTTTTAATGGCCAGAATTGCAAAAAAATTCAGATTTATCAGAAAATACTTTTTCTTAAAATTTTTGAACTGATTTTAATTTTATCAGAATGGGATCTGTATATTTCTTACTCATAAGATTACTATTTATTATAAAATATGACACAATCATCAATCTCTGGGCTAATTGATCATGAAAACTCATTTAATATTTTTAAAATGTAGTTTGAACCCTAATTGTCTTGTTTAATAGCATTATGCTTCATTAAACCATTAAATCTTCTCAAAGCATCAGCAATGAATTACTTACAGTATTCACTCATTCATTCATTCAATCAATCAATCAATCAATTTTTAAAGCTGGTCCTCTCAGTCAATGACTGGGCANGCAGTACCTCGGCCAATCAGGGAAGATTAGCTGTTAAGGGAAGGCTAGCAACACCCTCTGTTGCGTCCAGCCAATCAGGGAGCAGCAGAGCTGTTGCCAGCCCTTTTGAAGGTTTCAGAATACATAACATACATCTAAGTGCTATTGCTATTGTTATTCAGTACAGTGCCCAGAAAGAACTATTTAGCAGTAAATATTATTTAATATTCATCCAGAAATTATTTTACTATTATTCACAGAATAAAATACATATTGCATCCTTTATGAATTATTACAATAGTAAAAACAAGAATATTGCACTCCTGTGAATCTTCAGTTGCCAGGATAGGCTGTTCTGCTGCTATTCTTGTTAACACTTTTTAAAAAGAATTTAAAGTGTTATATATAAAAGAATGAAAAGAGTTTTATATACAATATATAAATATGTGATTTTGCCATTACAGTACTTGTAGTCAGTTTGTGCAATCTAACCAGATAGTCCACTGTTTTTTTCAACTCCTGCATAGGCAGGACTTAATGTTTGTGGTTGCTTCTGGATTTGTATGAATTCATTCTTAAAACTTGGTGTTCTGCAGCCATAATTAGTCTCTTTCTAATTGAGCTTTTTCTTCAACTTTCTTGCTCCAAGTCATAGCCAGATTTTGACGTTATCTGGTTTCCCTGCTTTTTCTTTTTTCTTTTTTAATTTTCTGGTCATGTAATTCTGTGACTTTCCATGCTTCCATTCTGTTCTTCATTTGATCATTCTTGTAGGTCAATTTGGTCTCTCCAGTAAACAGTAAGCCTTCCTGGTATACCAGCTTCAATGCATTTTCTTCACTGCCTTTAACAGATTATTATAGAATTGCTTCAGAATAATGTAAATTGATTTGATTTTCTGTCTCAGAAATACATTAAAATATAAAAAGGTACTCATAGAATGAATTGAACTGATACTTTGGCTCTTGAAATAAGAATTGTTTTTAGTGAGAAATAATTAATTGAATGATTGTGTGGACATCAAATTAATCAAGTGTTCTTAGCATCATTATAGGAACACAATTCAGTATTTGTGTCAAAAACAGCAACTCTAGAAGATTAGAATATCTTTCTTTGGCACTGGTCGCATTCCATTAGGAATGCTTCCTGTCTGAAAAAACATTACTCCCACGCTGAAATTTTTCTTTTTAAGAAGTGGATGTTCTCAGTTGTACCTCTTTGTTTCTTCATTTATTTTCAACTTGGCTGTGGTTAGTGAGTTCCTATGAGATCAGAACAATGGAATGAAAATGTCTATAAATGGCACTTAAATTATTTTCACAGCTGGATGCACCTCAGCAAGTGAAGCAAGTGATGATATAGTTCATAAAAAGTATGTGATACAAAACATCTTTTACAAACAGAACCAAAGGCAACAGTTTAACTTGAGTGCTTTCTGGTGATATTGATGCTATCAATTTCCATTTTCTTTGCAAAATCAAAGAAATTATATATTTGAAGTAGTTTCTATTTATTGAAGTGAACAAATCAAAGATGCACATAATCAAAATTTGATTTGTGACATTTTGGCAACTGTAAATTCTAATTATTCAAAAATCTTCTGGAGCATCTTTAATAAACCAATGAACTCCTAGACAAACATTTTTAAAACCTAAATAATTAGACGTAAGCAAAAAGAATTCTATCTTTCTTATTAATGGTGATTTAATGCTAGCTGTTCTCAACAAAGTATGATAGAAATTGATTTGGGCTGAATGGATCAATGAGCCTTGAAAATATGTTCACATACAGAAGAACTATTTAGTACTGAGTTAAATTGAAAGACTTTCCTTCATCTAAAGTAATTATGAATTATAGGTACAGTATTTCCATGGTGTTTTGTTTGGGGATTGCTGTGTTAGAAGCCTACTTTTCTTTCTTTAGCTATTTTCAGCTAAAACAGTAAATGTCTTAGGATAAATGAACACACTAAACAGAAAATGGAGGAGAAAACAGAGAATGTAGGAAAATGGGTATTCAGTGTTCAGCTGTACAAAAAGGATGGGACCACCATTTTCTCTTCTGACTTTGATCACAACAAAGACAAACAGAATGTTGGAGTTTTTTGCCAAGAAATACAATGCCTTGACTTACATCTAGTCTCAAAATCCATGGTAGCAAGGGCAAGGAGAGTAGCCTGAGTCATTGAACTTCTCAGAGCTGTATGTTTCTGGGACTGCTTATCATTCTGTAAGGCAGGGTGCAAGGCAGCCAGAGATAGAGGAAGATAGGAAGGGGGCTTGGAAGTGGTAACTTATCTTTCTGAGACTTGGGGCTGGAAGGGACCAAGCCAGAATTACTTAGCTTGGGTTGGTTTTTCGGCTAAAAATTGGAAAAATTATCAATGCCAACAGGGTTTGCAGTATTGTCATTGCTGAGCAATTGAATTACATAATGTCTTGCTTTTAAACCACATTGATTTGTGAACAAAATTACAGTCCTAAGAGTGGTACAGGAAAAAAACCTTTTTCATAGATGCCATTGCTTTTAGGAACAAAATATAAAAGAAAGAATGTTTCTACACTAAAAAGGAGGATATAAAGGCATAGGAGGAGTAGGACAATAATTCTGTAGCTTGTGCTCAGAGTTATGATCCTTGAAAGTCAGTATTTGATGGATCTTTCAAAAGTTGTATAGGAAAGAAGATAAGGCGTCCCTCTAAGTAACTTTAATGCAGCAATGTGTTGCTTTGCCAATGCTTTTTGGCTGTGTCTGTTCAACATACATTTTGGCTTGCTGAAGTCTTGTTGCTCTGGAGCTGAAGCTCACCAGTTCAGATGATGAGTAACTAGTTTACTACTTCTTTGCATGATCCAATTGTTCAGGAAATCAGTTGCTTCTTTCCCATTGTTACTAGAATTATTATATTTAGGGATCATGAAAGGTGCTACTGAAGACAATCCATTTTTCTTCAATCTTGTATCCTTTTTTCTAACTAGGCATTTTGCCAGATTTATCAGTCTCTTTGATTTGAACATAATATTAAAGTTCAGCAAATGTTAAGCCACATTTGAGGTACAGTTTAAAGGAATGCAGCCAATCAGATAACACTGCTATAAAGGTGCTAAACCATTAAGATAAATTCTGCATTGGTGCTAACTGCCCTTTTTAGTTTGCTGGATTGCACTGATACACACACACACACATACACACNTTTTTCTCAGCACCATAAAGAAAAATCAGATGTCATTTTATAAATAAAGAATATAGAATAATGAATGTCACTAAATCATAAATATCATAATTCTTCAATACAGAATTGACATTAACATTATTTGAGTCCTTATATGGTTTCCTTTATATTAGACATAATGTGTGGTATTGATTGTTGTTCATGTACAATTTAATCTTTATTATATTTCTCAGTTAATTGCTATGTACATCAGCCTTGCATTTGATCCTGACTACAAAGTGGTTTATTCAGATCTGTGTGGTATTTAATGTGGCTGAACACTGAATAGCATTCAGATGGCATCTAATCTGGCAGTATCAATCCTGTCCAATGATTGATAATACCATGAAATTAGATCAGATTCATTTTTTTTTAAAAAAGCTCCAAAATAAAGGTAGCCCTTGTCTTACAGAAGTTCTCTTAGTGAATGTTTTAAGTTACAACAGCACTGAAAAAAGTGACAACCATTTTTTCAAACTTATGGCCATTGCAGTATCGTCATGTGATTTACATCCGGATGCTTGACAACTGACTCACATTTATGAAGATTGCATGGGTCATGTGATCCGATTTTGTGACCTTCTGACATGGAAAGTCAATGGGGAAATCATTTTCACATAACAACTGTGTTACTAATTTAACAACTGCAATGATTCACTTAACAACTGTGGTAAGAAAAGTCATAAAATGGGGGGAAAATAAATTAACAAATGTCTCACCAACATAAATGTTGGCTTCAATTGTGGTCATAAGTTGAGGATAAGTTGTATTATTTCCAGCTCTGACATAATTATAGGATACAAGCATTTAAAATTATGAAATTTTCAAAGTGTAACTAAACATTTTCATTCTAATCTCCTTTTTTTCAAGCAAGACTATTGATACCCACACACACACACACTTCCCCCCCCTTGCCATTTAGCTAATAGACTGTTCTTTCTGGTACACAGGTTCAGAGTACTTCATGGATGCCCCATCCGTCATATGTTATGCAACCAACAGTAAGTAAACACAGACAATGGCCTTTCTTGTTTTATTAAGAATTAGTCGGACACTGTCCACTGCTCTGGCTGAAACAGATTCATTAAGCTGACCATTTACTCAAGTGATCTGAACTAGAAAACATTAAAATATTAGTGAAAAATTAGATGGAATTCTCTGTGGATTCCTTTGTGTGCACATTGCATTACGTTGCTCTTAAAAATGAATGGATTGCCAAAAACAGTACCGTGTTTCCCTGAAAATACGACCTGTCCTGAAACTAAAGCCTTACCACATATTTTGGGTGGGCAAAAATATTAGCCCTCCCCCTGAAAATAAGCCCCCTGGACAACCTCCTCCCTCTGGCCAGGCAGAGCACCGCTTGCCAACCTAGCAGGATCCTGAAGACACCAAGCCACGGGAACGAGGTGAGGGCAAAGGCACTCGCATTGCTTGGTGCTTTCAGGATACCGCTAGGTCGGTCAGCAGCACGGTGCCCAGCTGAAGTGGGGGGTTGCTGGGCAGCTTCTGTCTTGCGAGCGGACTCCTGAAGAGCCGGGCACAATCTCAGGGTCGAATGGCTGTGTTAAGCTGTTGCAGCAGCAACACAGCAGCCATGAGGTGACCATGCTTGCAAGCAGCCACCTGGCAATCCCCCTTTCTAGCCGGGCACAGTGCTGCTGACTGACCTAGTGATACCCAGAAGGCACCAAGCAACACGAGCGCCTGTTCACCGCCCTCTGCTTCCCGCAGCTCACCTTCGGAATGCCCCTAGGTGAGTGAATGGGGCTCTGCATGGCTGGAGAGGGGGGTTGTGCGAGTGGCTTTTTTGCTCCCCACTCAAGTGACTCGCAGGCTCACAATGTCCTTGGCTAACTCTACAGTACCAGCAGAGCCAGGGCATCTCTGCTGCTGGCGCTGCCCAACGCTTTTTTTTTTCCGGCTTTCAAAGCACAGAGAACGGATGCTGCTCTGGGAGTACGCTCTATGGTTGTGGGCTGCAGAGTGTACAACCATAGAGCATACTCCCAGAGCGGCATCTGCCCTCCATTGTGGCTTCCAAAGCAGGGAAAGAGAACGGAAGGGAAAAGAAAAAAAGAAGGGAAAAGGAAATAAGGAAAGGAAAAGAGAAAGGAAAGGAAAAGAGAAAGAAAAGGAAAAGGAAAAGGAAAGGAAGAGAGAAGAAAGACATAAAGGGAAAGGAAAGGTGGAATGGATTGGTACTGCTCAAAAATCAACTCTCAAGATCCCGTGGACCTCTCCACAAAGTGAAGGGATCGCAGAAAGGCTGCCAAGTCCAGAATGGGGCTTCAGACAACGCAATGCCTGAGAAACATGGGATGTGCAAAATGCAGGCTACAACCAACGAATCACGTTTTCCCAGGAACTGACAAAACCCCAGAGGACCAATGGGAATTCTCTCTTCTGCAACATCATCGGTCTCCAGGCAGAGTCATCCTTGACTTCACTCACTGGAGGAGAGAGTTCGGTGCAGAGAGAGGAGGGAGGGAGGGGGAATATTTTAAGTCATATTGTAAGACATTAAAAAACAGTTGGAAACTGCTGCGCTGAGTTTTCTTGTTACGTGTGCGGCCGCGCAGCCACGCAACTTAGAGGGAACATTGCCCTGTACCATTGCTTGAAGAAAATGTCTTCTAAAAACTGGCAGTAGGTTTGGGGGTTAATGTTGAGTCCATCTTCAACCTGAAAAGGTCCAACTAGCTCATCTTTCATAACACCAGCCCATACCAGTACCCCACCTCCACCTTGCTGGCATCTGAATCGAAGTGGAACTCTGTGCCCATTACTGATGGGCCCAACCATCTGGTCCGTCAAGAGTCACTCTTATTTCTTTAGTCCATAATACTTTTAAAAAATCTATTTTCAGACATTTCTTGACCCAGTCTTGCCATTTTAGTTTATGTGTCTTCTTGTTCAGTGGTGGTCACTTCCTTCCCTTGGCCATGTCTCTGAGCACTGAACACCTTGTACCTCTGGGCACTCCAGGTAGAATGCAGTTCTGGAGTATGACAGAGTCTAAAGTCCACCCAGAGGTTGTGTTATGTGTGATATACGTACGTACGTACGTACGTACGTACGTACGTACGTACGTA